CCGCCGCCGCCGGGGCTACTGCCGCTGCTCCCTCCGCTGCTGCTGCTGCCGCTGCTGCTGTCCACCGGCTGCCGGGCGCTGGAAGGTGAGCGGCGTCGGGGGGCGCGTCCAAGGCTTACGGTGCCCGGGGTCACCCGGGCGTAGGCCGGAGGGGACCCGCGGGGTGGGTCAGATGCCAGCTGGGCGCACGTCGGAGGAGGCTCCGTCACCCGCGCCGCCGCTCCGGGGGCCGGAGGATGGGGTGGGGAGGACGCCCCCGGAGCCGCCTCGCAGGCTCCAGCTGGCTCCGAGGCCGGCGGTACGCGGATCGTGGCTCTCGGGCAGCTGGACTCGGGTTGAGCGTCCCCGAAAGTCACGGCAGCGCTGTGAGCTCTTGGGGGAGAACCCCGCACTCACCGCGGAGGAGCGGGGCCCCCAGCGGCCCGGGGAGGCGAGGGAGTGTGGGCGACCCACCGGGCGAGGCGGGGGCCTCTGAGGCTGCCGCGGGGCTGTGGCGGGTGGGGGCGAAGCGGGACTCCCAGGTTGGGGGGCGGCGTTGGTTAGGAAGCCGTTGGAGTTGACTGTGAGAGGTGTGAGTGCGTGCACCCCGCTTTGTCAGGGGATGGCTGCGGGCTGGAGAGGCGGGGGCCTGTTATTGTTTATGGTTTACGGAGCGCCAGTTACCCACGAGGTGCTGCGTGCACGGGCAGTGCGCGCTGCTCTGCGGCTCTCCTCCGCCTTCTAGCAGGACATCCGAGGGCTCGGGTCTCCGTTGAACCCCCGAAGTTCTGGGGTTTGCCCCATTTGCCGGTGGGGAAAGGCCGAGTTTCTCAATAGGTTGTGTGAAGCCGACCCAGACGGTGCTGGCGGGGGTGGGGTAGCTCCAACTTGCAAGCGACTGTACTCGGGGGAACAGGATGCTGTTGGCCCTGGTGGGAGAGCTCACACTCATGGGGCCACTTGACACGAGCCTGCGGGAGACAGAGGCGCTGACACTGGTCACGAACAATAGACGCGCACACACAGAGTTTCCAAAAAATTTGAAGCCATTAAATGAGAGAAGAAAAACCTTCCTTAATGTGGAGGGCAGGACACCACAGAAATTTGGGGGAAATTGGAATATAGACAGTTTTTATTTTCGGAGTCTTTCACAGCCAACTAGTCACTTTCTTCGTACAGAAACAAAAATATGAATTCTGTGTAACTCGGTTTGTTTGTATGTTCACAACTGGTAAACTTAAAGGTTGGAAGGAAGAACGAGCACAGTTCTGAAAGAGAGGCATCTTCTGGTGCTTGCCAGTTTTCTCTATGGAAAAAATGTTCCTATGAACCCGCACCCCCTTTTACCTCTGAGCCCACCGGCCCTGACAGACCGATTCACACGGGTGGACACATGCAAATCCAAGCAGACACACTGAGGTCGCGCCCACATGTGTGTGATAGGATCTGAGGCGTGAGAAACCAGTGTGGGGCTTTGTTGTTGATTGCCTCAAGGGTGTGAGCCTGGGAGCCTGTTGGAGTTACCAGGTCTATGTCTCTGTGTCTTAGGCCAGGGCGGGCAACGCAAGCACAGTCGCTTATGGGGCGCTGCGTGTGTGCTAGGCGCGGGGCCCTTGTTGTCAGGTGTGGTGGGTGCTGGTGCTGCCAGGGGGGCGGAGGGGGTGTGGTTTGGGTCAGGTGAGCAAGGGCTACCCGAAGAGGCTCACTCCTTCCTCCCTTTCTTCCTCCTCTTCACCCCTCACAATCTGCTAGACCCTCAGTGGCAGGCCGTAGCTGGGAGCTGGCATCCAGGTCTCCAGGCCTCCAGGCCGGAACGCTGAGGGGCTGACCAGGAGACAGAGGACCCATGAGCAGTAGCAGCACAAGAAAGAGAGGGCAGCAGGGCCCCAACCTTGTCCCTCCTTCCCCCCCTCGGCTGTGTCTGGGGCTACTCCCCGACTGGGCAGGTGGTGGCTGGCAGGCCAGGCCAGTGTGGGATGCCCCAAGGAAGTAGCAGTGCCTTCCATGTGTGGCTTTTACCAGTTCCTTTACTTTTGCCATACCTCAGACCTTAGGGTTTTCAGTTTGTGTGCGGGAGAATGAAAGGAAAAAGAGAGATGCTTTGGGGTGCAGATCCCCACACGGAAGTACGCCTACCCACTCAGTTCTCCCTCGTTGTGAGATGGGTCAGTGATAGCACCCACTATCCTAGAGTTGTAGGGAAGATTGCGTCCTTAATGTGTGTGGGGTGCTTAGCACACAGCCATTATTATTCAGGGATTAACTGCTATTATCGTTATCCTAGGGTCTGCTCTCTGAGGAGGGACAGAAGTGAAACTGGTGTGTGCCTTACCTGCTGGAGGGAGGTTAGAGGAAGGGGTGAGGGGGGCGGTGTGACGGGGGAAGGTTGGTCTGAAGAGAAAATTGTCTCCCCACTTCCATCTCCCTTCAGCTCTGGGAGGGATGGGATGGGATGGGATGAGAGCGAGGTCAGGGGCAGCTGTCTGTGTCCTGCCCATCCCCCAGCCCTGTCTGGAGCTTGAAGGGTGAGGTGGGAAGACTTGGTGGTTCTGGGCTATGGCCACCTGGCAGGGCTAGCTGGGACCCTCCCCACTCCCAAGCTTTACAGGCAGGGGATCCAGGCTCCTTGCTCCAACCTTCCATTTGGCTTTGCCAGGATTTGGTTTGCCCTGGGCCTAGGGGAGCCTTTTGGCTGTCTGCATCCGGGGGCCATTATATCTAGGCCCAGAGTCCTGAGTTGTGTGTACTGTTTCGTCATAGATCCCCTGGTTAGGTGCTGTCTAGCACCTGGTTGCTCTACCTCCCTACATACTTGGGGTCCACCAAGACTGCATCCAAGGACCTCATCAGTTTTCCATGAGGATGGAGCCAGGGTCCTTGCTCGTCCTCCTTGGTTGAGGAAACTCCTCTCACCTTGCCCTCTGACTGCTTACCTCTCCCTGCAAACACACACTGATTTTACCCTCAGATTTACCCTTAGTCATAAGAAAACGGGGCCACTTCGTTGCTGACCCTCCTTTCGAGTAGTGTCTCCCAGGCCCCCGAGCCAAGACCCTTCTCCCCTTCAGGACCACGAACTGGAAGGTGAGCAGACCAGGAACAAGTGTGGGATGAGGAAGGAAGTCTGGGCCGTAGGGGCCTCACCCCTTAGATGGGACGGGGAGGTCTGCAGAGAGCCTACCCTTGTGAGGAAAGAGAACCGGTTGCCAGGTGCAGGAGGTGGGGACGGCCGCAGTGCCCCTGGTGTGCGAGGGAAGGAGGCGGTGTGTGAGTCCCTCTCGCCCGCCGAGGAAGCAGCAGTGGCCCCTGAGGAGGTGCTCGCTGAGAGGGGACGCCAGGCCTGGGATTTCTGGGCTGGCTCACTCCTAGAGTTGCCTCTGGCGCCCCCACCCCATCCCTGTTTGTCACGAGCTGGCACCTCAGAGCTGCCGCTGAAGGACGGTGGCAGGTATTTGGGGGAACCAGTTTGCTCGTCACTGCCTTCCCTTTAGCCAGAGCTGCTGCTACCTCCCGCTCTGTGGCCTCAGCGGTGGGGAGCTAAAGCCTAAGCTGCCGTGGGCAAGGCCTCCGCCACCCGGCCTTACACTAATTAAACAGCATGAAGAGGCTGAATCACCAGGCCTGCATAGTTTGAAAATTGTAGCCCTGCCTGTTGTGCTGAGTCAAACTGGTTTGTCGGGATTGGGCAGCTGGGGAGGTGGGGGGGGGGAGGGAGACTGGGTACAGCTGGGCACCTGATGGGGTGGGAGAGGCCCCCTGCCCCAAGGGCTGCCCTGGCCCCAGATCTGCTATTGCCTTCTGCCCCCAGACCCCTGGCCAGAGCCACTGTGGCTGGGATCCCAGGGAAGGGCTCAGAGGCCTCACTGAAGGGCTAGCTGTCCATCCGTCCTGGCTGGCTGGCAAGGCCAGGACGAGGGTGGGGGCATGGATGAACACTGAGGCATCTGGGCTCCTTGCTCTGTGCTTTCTCCTCCCTTCTCCCTCTCAGGTTTATTTAATTATAAATCCCCACGATCTGAAGGGAGGAATGGAAAACAAAATGTGTTCTCTGTTTTGAGATGTTCCCCTCCCCTCCATCCTAGAATGGAGGGCCAAGGGGCCATGGGCGGAGAAAGGGAGAGGTAGCTGGGGGGGTGAGTTAGGCTCTTCTAGGTCCCATAGCAACCCTCCCGCAGGCCCCCTTCCTCCTCGGGCTGACCACCCTGAGTGTGCAGCTTGGTACGCACATGTATACCCACTGATGCACAGGGTAGGGGCCAGATGGGAGAAGATGGGACAGAGGCCTTGGGTTGGTTGGCTGAGGTCGGGACCCCATCAAGGAGGAGGGAGACCAACTCAGGGCCGGCGTGGGGTTTTTCTCCCTCTCTTTGCAGGCAGGGCTATGCGCCTTCTTGTCCGGATTCTGCCCCTCGGTCCGCCGGCCCCTGCACACTCCGCTGGCCCAGCCCAGGAGCATGACCTTCCCCACCGCCTTCAAGTCCCTCGTCTGGAGCTTGGGCTTCTTGCTTTTGTCTCTGGGGTTTTTTGATTCCCTGGGTCTCACTGACATAGAGCAGTGTGCTCTGTGTAACTTGGGACCTGGGGTGCTGTGGGGTCTGGCAGTTCCATAAAGTTGTATGTACTTGGCCCTTCACCAGGGTTGGTGGCTGGCTCCCAGCTGCACCAGGGCTGCCCAGTGAGGCCCTCAGACACAGGCTGGGTGCCCACGATATTCTCCCCTTGCTGGGTGCCCAATGTATGTGTGGAAGTGTTGCCCAGAGCTCCTGGGGCTAAGTCTCTTCGTGATGCCCCCCCTCTCCAAGGGCTCAGTGCTGAGGACAGTGCCATCGTGCTGGCCAGGAAGTACCTGGGGAGGCTACACCCAGCCACACCCAGAATCATCTTCAGGCCCTTGCCCCACCCCCAGTCTCGTGACCAGTGACCGCTCCGGCCTCGGCCAGGGCCACGGGAGGCAGGTCTGGGGTTTGCTCCTTCCCTGCACCTCTGGCCATGACTGGCGCAGTCCCTCTGCTTTCTTAGCAGACACTGCCTTCTCCTAGCCCTTCCTCCACCCCACCTGAACACTCAGCTCATAGAAAGGACATGCTTGCAATGTGTGTGTGTGCGTGTGTTGCATGTGCGTGGAGGATGCACCTCTGAGGCTTTATCCAAACCGTAGACGTGGGCATTAACACTGCGTGCTCCTGTGGCATGTTTGAGTGCACACGCACATCAGTGTGTGCAGCTGATGCCCGCTGTGCGTGACTGCGTAAGAGCACGTCGTCGAGTCTGTACGGAGAACCTGGTGTTTGGGTTTGCACTTGGCTACACTCAAGACTGTGACTTGGGGCTGGCAATCGTGGGCAGTTGGGTGTGTAAGGAGAATGTACTGTTTGGTGTGCGTGCCCTCCGTGTACGCCGAGGTCTCTGGAAATCTGCACACATGAAGACTCTAAGAGTGAGTGTTTGCCTAAGACAAACCAAATCCGTGTGTAGGGAAGCTTCACTGTATGTGAATGTCTAAGGGAGACTAATCTGTTTGTACCATATGCATCTGTGTGTCTGAAAAAGACCGACCGTGGCTGTGTATGAAGCCGTGTGTGTGTGTGTGTGTGTGTGTGTGTTTGCGGGCGGCTGTGGCTTTGTGTGTTTTTGTCCACCATATGTGTTGACTTGTCATTCTTTGGCCCCAGTGGCAGAGAATGAGCCCAGCCACTGAGAACTGGGGAATGCTTGTGCGGGTGTGTATTTGTGCACAGGCAAGAGCCACACAGCTGCCGCCACGTGGCCGTTCTCTGTGGCCCTTTGGAAACCTGAAAGGGGTGCTGGTTCACTTCTGAGCATTGAAGCCCCAGTTCCAGAAAGCCCCCAGGCCTGCTGTCCACTTCCCTGCTCGCTTTGGAGGGGCCGGTGGGGTTTCCGGCCTGGCAGAGCCCTGTAGCAGAGAGTGGCTGTCTGCCTTCTGGTCTCCCTCCAGCAGCCACATGGGGGGCAAAGGAGGATGGGGGTGCAATTGGCAGCTGGGGAGCTTGGAAACTGCTCGCTCAGTCCTCTTTTGTCCTTACTCCTGTACCTCATAATCTTCACCCCAGCTTGCGTACGTGCACGCGTGTGCGGCACTCATGTAGCAGAGGAAGGTGGGCTCTGTCGGGTTGGGTCTGTCCCTCCCCATGCCACAGACGGATGGATGCTGAGACCCCCTCCATGCCCTTCCTGAGGCTGGGACACAGGCACCTCAGGGTCTCCCTCTTGCTGAAGGGAGCAGACCCCTCCCCTTCCCCAGAGAGCAAGCCCCCTCCCCACCAGGATGACCGGAGCCCTTCCTCGGGCACACATGACTCAAAATCCAAGTCCTCTCCTCATTAATGGGAAAAATGTGCCGAGATTGAGCGATGGCCAAGGCTGAGCGATGGCCAAGGGCCGATCCCCGCCCCCTCCCTCTCCCGCTCCCCAGAAATTAAACAGAAATGAAGAGCCTCCCTCCACCCCTGCCTACCCCCTCCCCTCCTGGTCCCCACCGTCCCCTCCCTCCCCTCAGTCCTCTCAGAGCCAGCACAGGGCTTGTTTTAAACTGTGGAGGAATCTGGCTGGAGGGGGGAGGGGGCTGAATATTTGGGTTTAAACAGTTCCAGATGGGTTTGGCACAGGCTGAGCAGAAGGAAGTGAGGGAGAGGGAGGAGGGAGGCAGCTCGAGGGAGCGGTGGGAGCCCCTGCCTGCTCGGGGCGGGCGGGTGGCGGGCAGCGGGCAGACAAGCAGGCGGACTGGCTGGCTGGCTGGCTGGCTGGTTTGGGGGGGAGGGGGTGCGCTGGGCTCGACTGGCTCCAGGGACAGGAATACTCTGGGCTGCTGGCTGGGGAAGAGGCTACTTGGAAACCTCCCTCTCTGTCTCTGTCTCCTTGGGCCTCCTTGTCTCTCCAACTCACCGTCTTCTGTAGTCCTCAGCTGACCACCCCACTGGCTGGTCCTAGCCAGCCGGCTCTGCACGTCCTTCCAGCTCGGAGCCACCCACCGTCCGCCTTGGCGAGGCCCCTGCTCCACCACCTCTCTCCCTGCCTGTCTCTGGGCCCCTGCTTCTGCCCATCTCTCCTTGCCTCCTAGCCCCCTGCCAAATGTCTGTGTCTGTCTGTCTGTCTGTCTGCCAGAGAGGCCTGTCGGGCCACCAACCGATGAGGCTGGGATGGCTCACCCTGCAGCCAGGTCCTCCAGGGACCAGCCACCTCTAATAGAAGAAGAGGGAGCTTCACTCCCTCTTTGCCTTACATGAGGGTCTGGGGCCACAGCTGCCTCACCCACCATCCTCAGCTCAGACCCAGACTGCAGGAAACCAGTGAAGGCCATAAGCCTGGAACCTGTGGGGTTTGGGTCTTTCTCCTCCTGGGCAGCCCCAACCTGCCCTCTTCCAGCTCAGGGCAGAGGGGAGAACTGCTGCTGCCCTGTCTCCCAGGCTCTAAGAAAGGAGTTGGCGTCTCTCTCCTCTCAGAGAGCAGAATTGTTCAGTCAGAACCCAGAACCTGATTCCTAGGGGAGTGAGTTTATGTCAGAAACGTTAATGGGCCCCTCCTATGGGTGAGCAAGGGGAAACAGATAAGAAACTGAAGCTTGGAACAGGATTGGTGCTATGACAAAGCCCCTGGCCCTGGATGCACAGAGGAAGGAATCTAACCCTAATTTGGTGGTTCAGGGAAGGCTTCCTGGAGGAGGTGACAGCTGGATTGGGACTTATAGGATATACAGGAGCTTTCTCGGCTTTCTTTCTTCTTCCCTTCACACTGTAGTCAGAGTGCTCTGGTTAAGGGGTTAGTTATGGAGTCTGCTACCTTTCAACTCTTCACCCCAAGTCCTAGCAGTTTTACCTTAGGCCGTATATTTACTTTATCTGGGCCTCAGTTTTCTCATCTATAAAAGGGGTACACCAACAGTCCTTATCGAAGGACTGTGGAAAGAACTGAGCTAGCTTGTCTTGGTGGCCCTCAGCCCAGCCTCAAAGAGCATTCGTGCCCATTCCCCAGAGGTGTTTGAGTGGGAGGCTGGGTGGGAGCAGGCTCTGCCCTGTAGCTGCCCTCCCATTCCCCTGGGCATGTGTGGTGCCGGGCCTTTGTGTTGGGAATGGAGTCAGGGGGGGCCTGGGCAGCAGGGTCTGAAGGACACGGTCCTTTGCTCCAGGATCAAGGGCCTGCTACCCCCTTGTGTGGAGATCAGCCGAGCCTGTAGGTGTGTGAACTGGGCCTGGCTTTTACCTCTGTCAGTAGCACACACCCACCTCCGGCTGGCCGACCTGATGGCTCATGTCTTTGGGGCTATAACGTTTCCGGGGATGGCTGCAGGCTCTTCTCCAGGGCAGGGTGGCTGAGAGCTTCGAGCACTTGGGGGCGGGGTGGGGTGTGATGGGCTGTTGCCTGGTGGGAATCATTCTCTGGTGTCCTGGCCTTTCTTGGACGACCTCTTTCTCCCCATCCTGAGCATGGCTTCTGACCTTTGTTCTTCTCTTGCTCCCCAGAAACCCTCATGGACACAAAATGGGTGACATCGGAGTTGGCATGGACATCTCATCCAGAAAGTGGGGTAAGCCTTCCCCACCATCTCCCCTGAGTGCTGGTTGTCAAGTAGGCCACTTCCGCCACCAGCGTCCATCCCCTTCGCCTCCCCAGGGCTTGAGAAGGGCTGCCTCTGCCCCCTGCCTATCAGTTTCACCTTCTGCGTCATTCCCATCCCCTGCACCTGTCACCTTCCTTCTTTGCCTATGGGTAATTCTCGCCCTTTCAGCCTTCAGCCTGTCTGTGTCCTCCTCCCCCCCACACACCATCTTTGTCCCACTCTCCCTCTGCCCACCCCTCAGCCTGCCTTCAGCCTGTCACCATCCTTCTCCTGCCTGAGAGCTCTTTGCCTATCTTCTCCAACCATCTCCCTCCTTCCTGGGTCCCTGGGTAGGGCACTGTCTTGGGGACCAGGAAACCTTGGCTCCAGATCTCTAACTTGCTATGTGACTTTTAGCAAGGCAGCTTACTTTTCTGGGCTTCCATTTCTAAACAGTTAAATTCCTGTAGTTCTGACATTTTTAACATATTCTAATTAACCTCCCTAGATGGCCTTCACAACTCCACTGAGCTCTGGAACACTGGGGTGGGATGGCGCTCCAGGCCCTCATTCACCAGACCTGACTGTGTGACGTTGGGCAAGTCTCTACCTTTGAGAGTCTTGGCTTCCTCTTCTGTAGAGTGGGGGCAAGACAACAGATGTACCTTCTCATGGGGTTGTAGTGAAGGTTAAACGTGATAGTGACAGCCAGTGTTTATTGAATGCGTGCTCTGTATGGGACATTGTTACAGGCCCATTGTATATATTAAACTGATTTGATTCCCTACCATGTCATTTACATCCAGTCGGCCCCATTTATAGACAGTGAAACTGAGGCACAAAGATAACAAATATTATAGCTAATAGTCCCGTAATACTTATCGAATGCTTTAAGTTTTTTATTCACTTAAGCTCATTTATCCCTTATATGGCTTTATTCTCGCCATGTTACAGATGGGGAAACGGTGGTACAGGGAGGTTAAGTGGCTTGACCCATAGTCACACAGCAAGGACTGGGATTTGAACCCATGTAGTCTGCATGCCCAGCCAGTACACCACAGAAGCATCCCCGGGAAGTAAACACGGATCTGGGCACGTGGTAAGCACCTGGCACGTGCTGGCGCTCATTCTGTCTTTTTCACTTGGCCCATGCACAGTGGGAAGAGGTGAGTGGCTACGATGAGGCCATGAACCCCATCCGCACGTACCAGGTGTGTAACGTGCGGGAGTCAAGCCAGAACAACTGGCTTCGCACGGGCTTCATCTGGCGGCGAGAGGTGCAGCGCGTCTACGTGGAGCTCAAGTTTACCGTGCGTGACTGCAACAGCATCCCCAACATCCCTGGCTCCTGCAAAGAGACCTTCAACCTCTTCTACTACGAGGCTGACAGTGATGTGGCCTCGGCCTCCTCCCCCTTCTGGATGGAGAACCCCTACGTGAAGGTGGACACCATCGCGCCCGATGAGAGCTTCTCGCGGCTTGATGCTGGCCGCGTCAACACCAAGGTGCGAAGCTTTGGGCCGCTCTCCAAGGCCGGTTTCTACTTGGCCTTCCAGGACCAGGGTGCCTGCATGTCGCTCATCTCTGTGCGGGCCTTCTACAAGAAGTGTGCGTCCACCACCGCAGGCTTCGCCCTTTTCCCCGAGACCCTCACTGGGGCCGAGCCCACCTCTCTCGTCATTGCCCCTGGCACCTGCATCGCTAATGCTGTGGAGGTGTCCGTACCACTCAAGCTCTACTGCAACGGCGATGGGGAGTGGATGGTGCCCGTGGGAGCCTGCACCTGTGCAACCGGCCACGAGCCAGCTGCCAAGGAGTCCCAGTGCCGCCGTGAGTGGGGGCTGGCCTGGGGCCGGGGGCTGGGGAGGACTCCTACCTGCCAGTCAACGAGCTCTGGCTTCGGGTCTGAGGCGGAGGGAGGGAAAGGAAGAGGGGTATCGAGTGCCCAGAACGTGCTGCGAGGAGGGAGAGGAGAGACAATGAGGAGACGCACCAGAATCGTTAAAATCGATAAAAAAGAAACTAAAGAGACAGGAAGAGAAAAACATGGAGAATCCTTGGTAAGGAGGCCCCTGGGCAGAGAGGCAGGAAGCCGGCCGAGATGCCTGCTTTGTTTGGCCCCAAGTGGACACCCCACCCCGGAAGTACTAGCTGGGCCTCCGAGCTGTGGGGACAGGGGCTGTGGGCACTCACGCTTGGCCCTTTTACCTTCAAGTCTCATCTGCTCCTCGAGAGGCGGTGTTTACAGCACAGTGGTCGGGGGCCCAGTCCCTGAAGTCTGAGTCCTAACTCTGTCACTTAGCACTGGTGGGACCTTGGGCACGTTACTTAACTCTTGGAACCTCGGTTTCCTCGTGTGCTAGATGGGGACAATCGTGGGGCTTCCTCTATGGGCTCGTAGTGGGCTTAAGTGAGTCGATGCATGTGAAGCTCTTGGAAAAGTGCCTGGCACATGGCAACACCATCACCACCTAAGTGTCAGCCATGACTCTCTCGGGAGCCAGGGGATGCGTGGGGACAGGGATTCTCTTGTCCTTATTTCATATAGGAGGAGATTCAGGAGGCTTGTCCGTGGTGGCTTGCCGAGACTCCTAAGACCTTACAGTGTACTAGACTTCTGGCTCTAAAACCCATTCACGAAGGGTTCTCATTCGAGCCTCCGTTTGCCAGTAAGGAAACGGAGTCTCCGAGAACAACTATACTCAAAGTGTCATAGCTGGGAATGTGGGAGTTGGGGCTACAGCCTTGTCCAGTGCTCTACCATGCAGGGCAAGATGCTAAGGGCCTTGCCTTCTATCCCTTCTGCCCCGGCACTTGCAGCCTATAACTCTGAAGGGTGGGGGCTGGCTCTTAGCACAGCGCGAGGTGTGAGGGGGACTGGCTGCCCCACCTGGCTGGGAGGCCCTGTGTTGGGTGTTGGCATGGCAAGGTGAATAGTGCCTTGCCCGGCCCCTCTCCACTTTATGGGAACCTGCCCCAGACTTCCTCTTCCTAAGTGGAGAAAGGGGGTGGGGGTGATGAGCCTGACAGCCTGAAGAGGGGCTAACACTCTGCAGGTCCCTGGCAGGAAATGCATGCTGGTTCCCATAGCAACCAGCCTGGCCTGGCCTCTGCCCCCTCCCCCACTGGCTCAAAAGAGCTTGGGTGGAATATCACCTTCGTGAGGGGGAGATTAAATCCCAGAGAAAAGCATAGCCCCAACTCTGGGCATTCCACACTCTGGATGACCTCCCCAGGGGCAGTCATATATGGATAGAGTGACCATATGCTTTCACATGTTTGGGGCAGTCCTGGCTTATGCTCATTATCACATGATTATTACTAGCGGCCCCTTTCGCTCTCCGAATATTCCAGTTTGAATAATAAATCCTATGGCTGTCATAGACAGGCAGAACCCCACAGCCCAGGACCAGGGGCCCCGGTGTAGATGACAAGAGAGGAAACTGAGGAGAAGGGATGTTCAGGCACCCAGCTCTGGGCTCGCTTTGGGGCCTGGGGTGCCCCTTGTGGATGCTTTGAGGCCTCTGAACTCCTGGTGACCCAAGCCTTCCTGCCTGCTGTCTTTTTCTCCTTTTCTCAGCCCTCTTCAGCCCCCACCCCTGCCCAAGGGCAGGAAGGAGCCGCTGCCCTGCTCCTGGTGGGTGGGGAGAGAGGCTGGTCCTGGGACCAAGGCCCCGCCTCTGGCTGTTCTGGGGTGGCCATGAGGGTCCTAGCAGTGATTTTCCTCCACTTTCAGGGAGGGGGCGGGAGCATCCTGGCAGAGTAGAGGGTGCTGCCAACCTGCCAGTGGTCTCTGCCCCACCCCTCCTCTTCCTTCTCTCTCCCTCCCGTGCCTCAACAAGCCCAGGCTGCCCAGGTGATGGGGCTGACGTCTTCGCCCGTGAGGCCCTGGGGTAGGGGTGGGGGGCCGGGGCGGGGAGGAATCCGCTGACGTGGGGTTTCCACGGGGCAAAAGGGCCTTTTGTAGCTGTACCGGAGTTAGGCAATCCCAGCATAGCCCCCACAGTCTGGGAGCTGGCGGGGCCAAGACCAGGGCTGCGGGAGGGCCAGAGTCTCACCGATCTGAAGAGCATGCCCATCCTCTTCTCCCACGCAGCCTGTCCCCCTGGGAGTTACAAGGCGAAGCAGGGAGAGGGGCCCTGCCTCCCCTGCCCGCCCCACAGCCGCACCGCCTCGCCAGCTGCCAGCATCTGCACCTGCTACAGTAACTTCTACCGTGCGGACTCGGACTCCGCAGACAGTGCCTGTACCAGTAAGTGAACTCATGGCCCCGCTCGGGGGCCCGAGACGGCCGCCATGAACGGCCGCTTTCCAGATAGGGAAACTGAGGCTTGGGGAGGTGCGATGTTGTGCGCAACATGGCACAGCTGAGAAGTGACTGGCCCTGAGCCGGAATCTAGGCCAGCCGCCTCAGCCTTTCCACCAACACTCAGGAAGCGCCCACCAGCTCCTAGCCAGGCATCCGGAGCCATTGGGCCTCTAGCCCCTCACTCCTCCCACTGTGTAGAACTGCTGTTCTCCTGGCCCAACCCCAACCATAGAGGGGGCGTCACGTCCTTGGGGCAGCCTAGTGCCCTGCTTCCTCCCTGCTCTGGCCTTTGGTGCCAGGCATTGTGCCAGGTGCCAGTGATGTGGAGGAGAATAAGATTCAGTCAGTAAGTCCTAAAGGAGCTTGCCACCTGGTGGGAGAAACAGATATGAAAACAGATAATGACCATATAATGTGCTAAGTGCCGGGCTGGAAGGATGCCCAGGAATTGTGCTATGGGGGTGCAGAGGACAGGAAGGAGAAGAATCAAGGAAGGCTTCCAAGAGGTGGTGACATCTCAGGTTGAGCCTTGAAGGCTAACTAGCGTCTTCCCAGTGGAGAATTGTAGGAAAGCTATTCTGCTTATTAACGCGGAGTCAAGAGCAAGGCGGTAGGAAGCTGCTTGCGGTACGCAGGAACCCTGGGTGGAAGGGTGGTGCTGGGGCCCTAGCTTACTGCCCTCTCCCTCCACCTTCCCTACAGCGGTGCCATCTCCCCCCCGGGGTGTGATCTCCAATGTGAATGAGACCTCACTGATCCTCGAGTGGAGCGAGCCCCGGGACCTGGGTGGCCGGGACGACCTCCTATACAACGTCATCTGCAAGAAGTGCCACGGGGGCCCTGGGGCCGGGGGCGCCTCAGCCTGCTCTCGCTGTGATGACAATGTGGAGTTTGTGCCTCGGCAGCTGGGCCTGACAGAGCGCCGGGTCCACATCAGCCATCTGCTGGCCCACACGCGCTACACCTTTGAGGTGCAGGCCGTCAACGGTGTCTCGGGCAAGAGCCCGCTGCCCCCCCGCTACGCGGCTGTGAATATCACCACCAACCAGGCTGGTGAGGAGGGGGCACGGGAGGGTAGGGCCTGGGTCATTTTCTCCCACACGGAGCTTAGGTTGCCCAGGGCCTGCCGATGGACCACCAGGGGTCCCCTGGGCGCCGGGTCCTTGGGAAGGATGCCAGGGCCGAGAAGCCCGTTGTGAGCCCCGCGCCCATCTTCCCTTAGCCCCGTCCGAAGTGCCTACACTACATCTGCACAGCAGCTCCGGCAGCAGCCTGACCCTGTCCTGGGCACCCCCAGAGCGGCCCAATGGAGTCATCCTGGACTACGAGATGAAGTACTTTGAGAAGGTCAGAGCCTTGGGGGGCAGGCGGAGGCCTTGGGGTGAGAAGATGACCCCCAGATAGCGTCAGGGGCCCCTGGGAGCAAGTACCTCCTGGGTACTGAGGCAGCCACAGGTGGGCCCTGGGGGGCGGCAGGGGCGATGGGCCTCAGGGCCACTGAGGCGCCTCATTTCTCGCGGTGTTGCAGAGTGAGGGCATCGCCTCCACGGTGACCAGCCAGAAGAACTCGGTGCAGCTGGGCGGGTTGCGGCCTGACGCCCGCTACGTGGTCCAGGTCCGTGCCCGCACCGTAGCCGGCTACGGGCAGTACAGCCGTCCGGCTGAGTTTGAGACCACAAGCGAGAGAGGTACGTACCCCACGGCCCCTGTTCCTGCTCACCTCCGTCCCTCCTCACTTTCTGTCCCTCCACTTACCCAGTCCCTTCCCGGTCTCCAGGCTCCGGTGCCCAGCAGCTCCAGGAGCAGCTTCCCCTCATCGTGGGTTCTGCCACGGCTGGGCTTGTCTTTGTGGTGGCTGTCGTGGTCATCGCTGTCGTCTGCCTCAGGTACTCCCAGGCCCGGCTTGCTCCCTCGGGCTGGCGAGAGCTTCCCTGGAGCACCCTAGAGCCCACATGCCACAGAGGCCCTTGGTAGGCCCAGACTCTCCTCGCTGCCAAGGCCGTCTCTAGTCCACACCCCTGTGCTCATCCCATCCCCTGCCCATCCGCTGGCAGATCCCCTCGGGGACTGAGTCCACTGCGTCCCTTGCCCAGAGACCCAGTAGCTGCTGTTACCCCTACCTGTGGGGCCAGGCAGCAGGCCATCCCCTGTGCACCCTGCCCCTCCTGGGAGCCCGAGGGTCCCCTGGACAGAGGGAGCTGTCGGGCTTGTCTCAGGCCGCACCCCTGCCCTGCCCCCTCCAGGAAGCAGCGGCGCGGCTCTGACTCCGAGTATACCGAGAAGCTGCAGCAGTACGGTGAGTTTGTCTTTTCATCCTGATCCTGCCGCCCCCCGGCAAAGTTCCCGTGGTCCCTGCAGGGCTTGGAGATACCCTTTTCCCCTGCCTGGGATTTCATCCCTTGTACTCCTATCCCGGATAGCCCCTCCTGCTTCCACTCAAGTGCTATTTCCTGAGCCCCTACCTCCCTCCTGCTAGCCCCAGAGATGCATGAGAAGTGACCCCTTTCCTCAAAGGCAGCTAATCCTAGGAGAAAGACAAGATACGTAAACACAGGAAAAAATGAGAGGACAGTTTAGTGATAAGCTGGGTGTTCCTGTTACAAAGGGCAGTAAGAGTTCAGAAAAAAGGAAGCCTTCCTGGAGGAGGTGGCCTTGGGCTGAGCTGAGCCAGGAGGGTTGAACAGGGTTTAGGGAGGTGGGGGAGAGCATTCCTGGCTAGAGAAGCCTCTGGAAGGTAGTGGGTAGGGTGGGGAGAGTGCCCGACTGTGGGGGCAGTGAGAAGACTGGTTTGACAGCTGCTGGGGAGCGAGGCTGGGTAGTTGTGGCCAGTCCTTGGAGGGTCGTGAAAGGCAGGCAGAGGAGTTTGGACTTGACTCCACCATAGGTAATCCGAAAGGCTCTCAAGCTGGGGAGTAATACAATGTGAGTATTGTTTTAGGGAGACAGGTATGCAGGATAGATTGGTGGGAAAAGTCCAGAGGCAGAGAGCCCAGCTGGGAGACTATTGCAATAGTCTGAGTGTTGAAGGCCTGGATAAGGTCAGGGGCAGTGGGAATGAGGAGAGGGATGAATCTGAGAGATGTTTTGACGTGATGAGAGATGGTCATCTCTCATTCTTCTTCAGAAAGAAGAATAAGAATCCTAGGTGTCTAGCTTTTATGGCCACTAGTTCTTATGGAGGGAATGGTGAGGGGGTGGAGAAGGGGCGGGTTGGGACTCCAGCAGGGAGGAAAGACTTAGGAGGGAGGGTGTGAAATGTGCTCCCATCAGGGTTTGGGGGGGAGGGGCAGTAGGGCAGTACGCTGGGCCTGAGGGCGCAGCCTGAGGAGTTCCCTCACTGACAGCCACCGCAGGCCAAAGATCTGGCCTCTCTCATGCCTGCCTTTTCTTCCTCTAGTTGCTCCCGGAATGAAGGTTTATATTGACCCTTTTACGTATGAGGACCCTAATGAGGCTGTGCGAGAGTTTGCCAAGGAAATCGATGTCTCCTGTGTCAAGATTGAGGAGGTGATTGGAGCTGGTGAGTCCCCTAGTGTACAGTGGAGAGGAGAGGTGTCGGGGGTGGGGGGTGTTACCCCAGGGAGGGGCCAGCATGCACTGGATACAAGGCCAATCCCAGAAGCCCCTTCCTACCTGTGCCCTCTGCCCTGCAGGGGAATTTGGGGAAGTGTGCCGGGGTCGGCTGAAACAGCCAGGCCGCAGGGAGGTGTTTGTGGCCATCAAGACGCTGAAGGTGGGCTACACAGAGAGGCAGCGGCGGGACTTCCTCAGTGAGGCCTCCATCATGGGTCAGTTTGACCATCCCAACATAATCCGACTAGAGGGCGTGGTCACTAAAAGTCGGCCAGTCATGATTCTCACCGAGTTCATGGAGAACTGTGCCCTGGACTCCTTCCTCCGGGTAAGAGCCAGCCCCCAGCCCCTCTCCCTGCCCTGCCTCAGAGAGCTGTGTTGGGCAAACCACCCCCTCCCACAAGGTCAGACATACCCAACCCTCTCCAAGTCTACAAATATTTACTGAGGTGGCCTGGTGCAGGGAAACAGCCAGGTCCTCAGAGCCAGAAAGACCCAAGTTCCCATCCCGACTCTGCCTGTGTGACCTCAGGCTTTACGTAACCTCTCTGAGTCTGAGCTGCCTTAGTTATAAAATGAAAGCAGTGAGAGCTATTTGGATCCTCACCGGGGTCCGTTGGGATGTTGTATACAGATACCCGCCACACAGTGGGCCGCTTACTTTCAGTGCACTCTGCACATAGTCACAGGGATAGGTGAGGCATGGTCTCCAAGGCCTTAGAGAGGGTAGGTGGAGGCACAGGGGGGCGGGCATGAAGGTCTCGGGCGGGCCCTGGGCTAGTAGGGAGGTGATGGGCCCACCTGAGCCTGCTCGTTGCCTCCAGCTCAACGATGGACAGTTCACGGTCATCCAGCTGGTGGGCATGTTGCGGGGCATTGCTGCTGGCATGAAATACCTATCCGAGATGAACTACGTGCACCGAGACCTGGCTGCCCGCAACATTCTTGTCAATAGCAACCTGGTCTGCAAAGTCTCAGACTTCGGCCTCTCCCGCTTCCTGGAGGATGATCCCTCTGATCCTACCTACACCAGCTCCCTGGTACAGGAAGCAGCTGGGAGGGACACCGGGGGCGGGGCCAACCAGGCAGGGGCTCGGGGCTGGGGACCAGCCCCGAGTCATAGGGTGAAGGGCGTGTGCCCCCCCCACCAGGGCGGGAAGATCCCCATCCGCTGGACTGCCCCAGAGGCCATAGCCTATCGGAAGTTCACCTCTGCTAGTGATGTCTGGAGCTATGGAATCGTCATGTGGGAGGTCATGAGCTATGGAGAGCGACCCTACTGGGACATGAGCAACCAGGATGTGAGTGGGGCCAGCCAGAGTGGCCAGGTGGGTGGGAGTCAGCTGGGGAGCGAAGTGGTGGCTCACTCCAGGTTTCCCTGTTCTCTCTTCAGGTCATCAATGCCGTAGAGCAGGATTACCGGCTGCCCCCACCCATGGACTGCCCCACAGCATTGCACCAGCTCATGCTGGACTGCTGGGTGCGGGACCGGAACCTCAGGCCCAAATTCTCCCAGATTGTCAACACCCTGGATAAGCTCATCCGCAATGCTGCCAGCCTCAAGGTCATCGCCAGTGCCCAGTCTGGGTCAGTATCTCTGCCTCTGTTCCCACTCTGCTTCTGAAGATTTATTTATTTATTGGAGGGGGGGG